CCTCTCTTTATATACATGTTAAGAAATCCCAAAAATCCCAAAAATCCCTCAAGCCCCAATTAAACCCCAATTGGGTGGTGGGGATGACATATGTTGAATCTATCTAATTTTTTTGGTCCCTCTTACACTATATTCAATTAATTTATATACGAATGTAATTTTGATAGTTGATTTTTGTTGATTTTTTTTGTAATTGGCAAGAAAATTAAAATTTGAAGTTGTTATTTTTTTATAATTTTAATTTGAGAAAATTATTTTAGTATACTTAAAAAAATTACTATATTTTAATATATTTTATTCTTTATATTTTTAATTAATTAATTATTTATTTATTTATTTATCAATAAAAATATGGATTTTAATTTACTACAAATTTATTTCAAATTTATTTTATATAATTTTTATTATGAATTTATTTAAATCATTTGATTTTATATAGAAATCGTCAGACATTGTAAAATGCGGAAATACAGTAATCACTTTTCTGCTCGCCATATTTTTTTAATTATATTACAAAAAATGCATTTTATGAGTTAAAGTATATTTAAATAATTTTGAATGTAATTATAAATCGATCGTTATTTTAATTTGTATATAAAGAAATAGAAATTCTACCGTCATTTTATATTTTTCTATATATGCGTGATAAAGAGTCTTAAAAATCATGTTTCGAATATTATATTTATTTAATAAGGTTCAAGTCTAAGATTAAGATTGTAATCCTAAATTAAAAAAAAAAATAAAGATCAAATGATAAGTTCACAAAAATCAAATTCCAAAATTTGAATCTGAATTAGAAGAGTCTTTTGCTGCAGAAATAATATTGAACTTGATAAAATATATAATGTTATAGACAAATGCCAGGTCACATAAAAGAAGTAATAAAAAAATGAATACGCACTGATAAATTATTTTATTATGTATATTTTTTCCATTTTGATACCCTTCTGTACTACCATACGAATGATTATGTAAAAAATTTTTAACAAGTAAATTTGGTTACAGTATAGAAATCTCGCATGATCACATGATTGCCATTCGTTCTCTAAACTCCGTCATACATATTATAGCATGAAATGGTTTGTTAAAACAAAACGATTAGGCCTGGAGACAATAAGAAAGCACAAATGGAGTTTTCTTTAGGGGATTGAACAATTAACAATGATGTATCTATGGCAAACAAAAAATCTCTCAAAATTATATATATATTCCACCGTTAACCACTTGGTTTCGTAATTACATTTTTGGTTTTCCCTTGATATACAACTATCAATTCTAATTTCCGTTATTTTTTGATGAAACACATCAACCTTTCTAATAATAAAGGCAAGAGGTTAAACATGAAACAAAATATCACAAAGAAGGAATATATATATTCACCTTTTTTAAGAGGGCGAAAGGAAGCCGAATTTTTATTCGATGTGAATGTAATTATGTTTTTTTTTTTCGTGTCGTCGCCTGTTTCCATTTAATGTAAAGGGTTCATTACAACTCCCAAAACGGCAGTACACTAGGGAAGAATCCAAAATTTAATTAAACTCTTAGTGAAGATTCTTAGCAGTAAGGAAAAAAATTATGATCTCACATCTTTCGTCAGAATGTGTTAACATATGATATTCTATTTGACATGGAAAATTATATAATTTTCTGCAATCGGGGCATTTGCGTTTATAAACGCGTTTACGAATATTTGGAAAATTCAAGACATTATCTTCAATTAAACGGACATAGGTGAGTCTTCTATCACCATCGATACGGCAAACCATGTAGCATTTATACAACTTTAAGCTTTCCGCGTTGAAATATGTGTTTTCGATCAGGTTTGGGGAGTTTAAGCTTCCGTTAAGGTTACTCGTATTTTCGACAGAACTTGATGGACTATGGCCCGTTCCAGCGATATTTTCGATGTGGTATATCATCAAGTTTACAGTGAGATAGCCCTTAATTATTCCCGTAGTGTTGCTGTCGAAATGGACAATAACATATAAGCTTGTTTCTGGGTGTGACGCGAGGCTTTCGGTGGTATAGCTAAGGGAATACCTTCCATCATAATCTCTGCTTGGGGTATGAAGAAAAACAAAAATAGTAATGTTTTCTGGATGTACTGCGGGGTGTGTCATGTTTTATTTATTGCAGCAAGATGTTATTTTGACCTTGAATGATTCCGTATTTATATTTTTATAAATAGTATAAAGTTTATTAAACCACAAGCCCAATACTGTATTTAGTATCGTTTTTATCATTTAATTTCGGCAAAAAGGTCACTATATATGTACAGGTTTTTTAAAGGATTTTGGGATTTTATCTTGTTCATGTGCCATTCCAATTCTCAAATCTTGGGATTTCAGTATATTCATGCGCCATTCCAATCCTCAAATCTCGGGGATTTCACTCTCGCATTCAATCATAAATGCTGTACGAGTTACAATCAAACGTGACCAAATATGGTCAATTGTCACCTCGTATTTGCAAGAAATAATGAAAAAATAATATAGTAAATCATACTATAAGAAGGATAAATAAGCTACTTAATATTCAAAGGTAAACTTTATTTAAGCTTATTTATTGATGGCCTTATCATTAATATTCCAACCTTCCTTTTATTTATGTTAAATAACACACCATCAAAACCATATTTCAAGTAATTAAATTTACTAATAAAATATAACATATCAATACTGATTATTATATACTGTACATGGGAAAAACAATTGTGCACTATACACTGTAATTGGACTATTTTCGAACCGATAACAACAGAAAACCATCAGCACGATTACATATCGATCGAAGGATGAGAGGGATAATAGCTGTACGACCAAAACATCAAAAATCATTTGCCAGATAATATGATGATCTTATTGTATCACGATAAAGTACAACACCCATATGAAAGTATCAAATGCTACAAGTAAATAATTCGTCATGCTTTTTATTAAAAAAAAACTTTGTCCACTGTTTGTTCGTTTATACAGTATCATACTAGCAATTGACTATTCCGAGATGGGAGTATTCACACTTTGATTTGAATTAGCAAATCTAAATTTTGTCGACGGATTCTTCCGATCTAACTAGAATGAAACACTTGTGTGTAACCGACCGATTAAGATGAAAAACACACCTTTATGAATTATAACAACTCAATCAAACAGTTCACTGAAGAAATTTTAATTATTAACACAATAAATTGCATATATACTGTATATCTGATATACATAAATAAATGTATTAGTAGAGCTCTAACGAAAAAAAAAAAAAAGTTTATTTTCGGAGAAAATTATACATTACAATGATTGTTATCGCATAATTAGAAATTAATTATCTTATTTGTTATAAGGACGATGCATATCTTTCTGCCAATCAATATACTACAGTATATACGTAAAAAAATATATATATATAAAATAAGACCGGCAAGTATTCTACAGGGCATAATTAGCACAATTACGTAATCGGAATTGATTAATGAACCATGGTACCGGAAATTATAGACTGTAAAGTATGGGAAATTTTTTTCACACAATATAAATGGAAACATTAAATCAAGTAGTTCCAATACTTCAAGAAAGTGTCTTCTGTAATTTGATTAAGATAATCATCTACCGTATCTTGATATAAGATAATCATCTACTGTATTTTCAAAAAATATTCCGCAACGAAATAGTGCAATAGCGTATCGGAACTCGAATTGAAAAAAGATAAGCATGATCCTTTTGTTTTCTTTTATAAACATACAGAATGAGGTCATTTGAGCAATTGTGTTCTCTAAAATAGCTAAATTAAATATAGACAAAATTCCAATTGGGGACCATTTTCATTATTAGAATGTTTTTTCCACTTATATGTCATAAGGCAGATAACCCAACAATGCACATTTTCGTTTTAAGAATTTATTCTACTCAATCTGGAATGCATTTGAGAAACAATGAGATTTTGTTTGTAAAATTAAATAATATTCAATGCATCCATACTTGTTATGAATTCAAATAAGATGACCGTTTTTTTTTATATGTTGTGTATTATGCACTTCAATAGGATTAATATTTGTGGGTGGGATACTGTAGAGACAATTCAAGCCTATATTTCATATAACCTTTTTATGTTTCTCCTGTAGTATTCGAGAATGTTGAATGAATAATATTCAAAACTAAATTTTCATCCACACTTTTAAAAGTATCATAAACTTTAGAGAATCCAATAATATTATTTGGTCGTGGTTTACTAATAATAAAGTAAAATTAATATTCTTTTTTGCTTAAAAATTTTTTTCGATTTTTTTTTTGAAATTGAAAGGTGAAAATAAACTATATAAATAAATATATATCTTATTATTTAATGTGTAGCAGACATTGTCGTTACGGAATGACAGTTATAAATCCAGAGTTTTATAGTAAAAGTAAACAATACAATTATTGATAAAATTCCACTACGGATAGTGTCAATTTCTTCTTCCGAAAATTATGAAAATATATTCTATCAAAAATAATGAATCGCAATGTTTATTATCACAAGACGATGAAAAAAAAAATTATATGTAACAATGTGATCAGTTTATTTCATTTTTGATCTGCATGTTTGAATCACAACCCTGGTCATAAAATCGTAGTAACAAATAAATAGATCTGGCGGATACAACAGATGCAAATTATCCATATAAGTCTAATATACGGTATAATCGGCAGACATTTAGAAATTCAAGAAAGTGCTATCATTTATTAGGAAATTCCTTTTAAATATTGACCTTTTCAACCTCAAAACCTGGCACATCGCTGACCCCGTAAACTTCAGGCAAATTTCCTTCATCGATAGCAAAGTTTGTACAATCCTTAGCATTACTATGCAATGTAACAATGATTTCTTTTTTGGTTTCTTCCGACAAAAACACGAATAAGCTTAAGATGGGTCGTCTCACCAAGAAAAATTAACAAAGTATTTCACAGCTTCCACTTGTTTGATAGTGTTATGGGGAAAAAGTGATGGGTAGATCATAGGAAATTACAAGGGTAAGTATATTAAATATAATACATAAGATATAAAAATAGGAACAGATCTATACTCGCGCAATAAATGTAGTAAACGGAATTGCTACACGCGAAGTAACTAGTTAGAACGCAGAGCGGCGGATTGATCTGCGTTGGCGTTACAGACTCTGACCAAATTCATATGCCTCTTTTGAGAAGGAAACCCTCTCGAGCGTTACACGGCGTGAGTCAGATTGAAGCGACTGACTCGCCGTGATTTCCCCGTAACAATAGTAAATAAACGTTTAAACCTATACTGTATGTTGAATGTGATAACTCACGAAAAATAAAGGTTTACCAAAAATTCTGGATAATTATCTTATATGATCCACATAACGTTCTTACGGTTTTGGCAGTTTTATTACAACTCATCATCAAAATCAAAATCATATCATAATCATGATCCGATCAACCTTCACAAAATCCTGATGTTAATTCCTTTTTTATTAATTGAATTTTTCATCTTAAAAATCAATCTAATTCTCCGAAAATCTATTTATTACCAGGCCCATCATATAAATTATAAGTGACGGGACGGTTGTGTTTACCATGCTTGTGAATGAATATGACCTTCAAGAATTTCCGGTTCATCGCTCGAATTTTAATTTAAGAAATACTCCAAAGCGTATAATTCTCTGGACTCTTGAATCTCTTATAATTTCTGAAAGTAGCTCTTTGATTTATTTAATCGCCTTCTTTTTTCTTTGACAAATGCGTTTATAAGCAAAATTACTCAGTATTTTCCGTATTCTTTTTTGTTTGACTTAAACCTCAACTGATTTTTTTCGGTTCATTTGTTCCGTACATGTCATCCTTTTCATTTTTATTAAAAATCATTTTACTGTACATTAATCAAAAAAAAAAAATTTTTTTTTTTTTTTATGTACATTTTTTGCAAAGAATATTTTATATTATTATTCTTATAAAAGTGCAGTATAATTCAAAATTTTTATGTTTATATTTTATATTTTCTCAAAAAAATTTATCGTCAATATTTGTTTGTAGTGTCGCAGGCCAGGGGGACAAATCATCGCGGCGCAATCGCACTTATGACAGGGGTTTCGTGCTTGAACAGGGGTGAAAGGCAGAAAGAAGGCGTATATTTGGTGAGTTTAGATGATTCATGTGATTTTATTGGTTAGAGGCAGTGTGATAAGTATGATGATTTTTCCAATGAACTTTATTAAATTTCCTTTTTTCTTCTCTTTTACATCTTTGATCGCATCGCTTTTATACTTTCTTACAAATAAAAAAAATAAAAGAAATAATCGATCAAAAGAAAATTACCCTTTTAGACAACCTCGATCGTCGTTTCGCAAATTTTTAGCCAGTGTCGATCGTCGTTTCCCCGTAACAGTAGATATAAAAAATTTTTTTAATTGTACTAGTACTGTATTTTTGAGGTCTCACATCAATTGGCATACGTAATCAATAACGGTTTCAAGGCAGTGATAATTAGCAATAAATTTAATAAATTTTTATTTTATCTTATTTTATTGTTAATCTGTTTACTATTGAGAAGAATAATATTTTCATTTTAAATTGTGTTTAAAAATATTAGATTTCTAAAAAAAAATCATAATCAATGTTTAATATTTAAATAGGATCGTTAGTATTTTCATATTAATAAATTAATAATACTGTAACGGCAACAACAGTAAATTTATAATTATAAAAAAATAATTGCTCGATAATAATAAATGCCATTAAACTGGTTGACATTGTATTCCTATGCTAAATATATTTGTTAAAAAATATCAAGTTTATTGAAATTGCTTGTAATTAATTTATTTATCAATTATGGTAAGTCTAAAATAATAATAATAATAATAATTTTTTCTATTATAAAAATTTAAATTTCTATTTATCATCGATTAAATATACAGTATATTACAATATACTCGAATTATAAATTGATATAATTTTATACAGAATTTTTATTTACACAAAAACATTTTTTAAAAAATAGATTTTAAAATTAAAATTATAAAGTGTTCTCAAATTTTTTAAAATAAAAAAACATAGAGCCTTTTTTATATAGTCTCGCACAACCTAAATTCTTTTGCTCAAGAAATAACAATAAAGAATAAATCTATAGCATTGATAGAAAAAACAAAGACTTGACAATAAACCATTATTTCATTTAACTTCATACGATTAATAAGGAATAAGAACCATTATTCAGGGAATTCAGGGAACAAAAGCTTTTTAATTAAAATAATGCATATTATTTTCATAAAGAAAATTACCTCGGGGTTGATATTCTGAATTATTTTGAAAAAATCAAATCATGTAAAGCACTGGTCGAATTATTATTTTTGTTCACCAATAAATCATGTTAAATATAGTTACGACTTACATATTGTCCTGGGATATCTGGCAAGCTCACACTGATTCTCGCTTCATTCGGTTTATAATAAGGTAAGTTTTCCTATCTTTTGAGGCGTGTTCTTCGATTTGGCCGTTCTCTCACTTTGACTTCTCTACCGACTAACCTATGCCAATTCCCTTAGGCAAACCCCGGTTCTCTCGTAGTCGCGTAGCCCAAGTTACAAGCTTACTTTGGCACATTTAAACACAGATGAGAGTTTCTCTTTAAACAAACATTACTTTATTATTTATTACTTAATATGTTACTAACTTTCAACTAAACTCCAAAATCCTCCTACATGCTACTGAATTGCGCATGTATTTATACATGCGCCTATTATTTACATGTTTACATCTGTTTACTATTCTACGCTACTCTAGAAATTTCTGTCACTAAACTTTCCCACACCAATTTTCCCACCTTAATTTCCACACAGATCGCGACAATAGGGTGACGTAACGTGATATCGTATCGTATGCCTGTGTCGATTTTACCCATAGCAGTATAAATAATTGTAGATTAATTATACAGTAATAACAAAAGGCGCATGAAGAAACTATTATCTCTATGTATAAAGAGATCGCGAGGTTTTTTTTATCAAAATGATTCTTTAGATAACACATCATAGGCTTTAGGAATCGTCACATTTGTCTTTTGTGCTAACACTAGTCAAATATATGGAATTATTAAAAATCATACTCTTAACACATTTACAAATTAGGCTCTATTATGATTAAATAATAATCAAAATTAGAAGCATTGTCATATAAAGAACATAAAATGAAAAACATTCTTTCATTAAGATTAATCAAAACGAAAAAAGTATTTAAGCCAGACAGGAAAGAAATCTTTGTAAGCAACATATTTCTTATTAGTAGACCTAATTTCAGAATTTTTGAATAATTGCACTGGGTATACTATTGTCCGTTGCTTGCCTGATGACCTCGTCGTTGTACGTCACACGGCATCTAAGTATACCCGCTTTTTCTCTATTGGTTGTGCTGATTTCATCTTCCTTTTGATAGAGGCGATTGAAATGGATCGGGTTTCGCGAAACAATAAAAAAATGGTACACAATTAAACTTCGAACAATTTAACACATAAATTTAAGGTAAATCCACACTGTTAACTTCATTTATAAAAAACTAAGTGCATTGTACGTGTTTTAATTATCTTAATCATTCTTTTTATCTCAATTATCCTCTTTTTTCCCCTATTGATTTTTAAATACAGCAAATATAACCTGATATCGAGAAAAAAATTTTTTAACGGAAATACTTTTTTTAAATTATTTGTATAAACCCTTAAAAAGAAATTACCCTTTTATAGTCTAGAATTGATTTTCGCGTCAGCCTTTATCAACACTTTGTTGGAAGCATTATCACGGAATTTAGAATACTTACCGGTGGAAAATTCTCTCGTGACGGTTTCTATTGCTTGTAGTTTGAGAGTATCTATTGCACTCTGGAAATGTACAGCGATACGCTAAAAAAAGGCCGGTTATCATTAAATCTTTTAATGAGAATAAAAAAAGGGATTATAAATTATTAAATGAAATTTAGACATACGCCTATTCCCAGTATGTACTCTTAAATGATTGGTCAAAAAGCTTGGGTAGCGGAATAACAGATCACATCCAGGACAACTGTACCTATAAAGTAATCGATAGTTTTCGCGAGTAATATAACCGACGAAGGTAAGTCCCCTATTATTTTCTTCGCGGTAAATTCCATAAGTGGGTGCGTAAACAATTGAAGTCGGGCTTTCGATGAGACCAGATGAATTTAAATTTCCTCCAGAGGCGTAGCCCATAAAGACACCTAAGAATAACAAACGTTCCTCTTGATTATCCAAATGGACAATCATATATCGACAATTTCTTAGGTTTACATCGTAACCTCTTACGGTGTATGGGGCATATGTTCTCATGCGTTCGAAATAGATGTATATAGAAAGGTTCATGGTGAGACTGACTATGAGATGCAAAATTTTCGATTTGTGCCGTGAAAAGGTTTGATCAAATTCTAAATGCGTGCTGAGATCATTATTTAAATTATATAAACAATCGAAGAAATTAGTTTTGTACAAATAAAGCCCTAAAAACCAAGGAATTGAGGAATAGAAAAAATACCGGTTTAATGACTTCAGTGGAGATACGTATAACTTCGATCTTTCATTCTATAGGATATGACCGATCCATCATACCATATTTTAGTAACGTGTATACATGAGATTTTAGAAATAGTGGCAAGTCCTATGCAATTATTCATATAATTTATTTATTTATTTGCACATGTATGCGTGACGAATATTTATTTATTTGCACATGTATGCGTGGCAGATATTTTTTTTGTTACGTATTGTACTAAAAAAATTTCGTAAAATGAATTTCTTGTAACCGTTAACTCCTAATTCCATAAGTCCACTTTGAAGATCGATCCGGTAACAGCTTATGTAAGGTATTTAGGGTCTATTATACGCTGACTCAAAAAAGTGATCTAATGTTATGATTTTTTTTTTATTTAAGGGCATAAATTAAAAATTAAATAGATTAACTATACAATCTGGTCTAAAAAAAACTATATAAATTTTATTTCTAATTTGACTTACTATTTATTAACTTATAAACAAAATATTATAAAAATAAATCTATGTACTGTATATTTGAAAATATAATGATTAAGGTTATCTGATGTAGATAGGTAAAAAGAAAGTTGATTATGCAACCATATAATAGTCCTACCCTAATTGGAGATTGATTTGTTTTTATGTACAAAAGAGAAAAATTGTCAAAGCAACAAAAAAAAGTAATAAGATATCTTTGATTACTGATTTACTTTATTATCCAATGCATTCTTTTATTTAATGTCACATTCAAACACCTCTTTCAATATAACATAGTCAGTGATACAAGAATATAACATAATCTACAAATCTAAACTTATTTATTCTATTTATAGTTTATTTATGGATCATCTTATTTGGATTAATTTATTTATAATCAAATTTAAATACATTTACCTATTTATCTAATAACATTTCTCTTCACTTATTTACAAGTTCCACAAGCAATTATTAATTCTTTTTTATAAGAATTTTCATTGCCTATTTAAATTAATATTAATCAAAGGTTTATAATATTTAACAAGTATTTTTACATTAATTTGTTGTTTTTTAAATTATAATGCAAGCAAATTTGCCTGCATATTTAAAACTTTATTAAGTTTATAAAAATTTTTAATAAAATTTTAAATATTAATTTTTATAATTTATTTATATTATAAAAAATATAGTTCAATATATTCTTAATCAATTTTATTAAGTAAAAAATTAAAATTCTATTGAAAATTTTTTTAAAAAATAACTTTAAACTTTGTATTTAAAATTTTAATATAAAAAATCATATAAAATTTAGTATATATTTAAAGTAAAAAAATTATTTTACTTCTAATACAAGTAAAAATTTTTATAATTAAATTATTAAAGTTATAATAATTAAAATTATTCTTTACTAATAATTCTACAAAACTGCTTTCAATTATATAAACTTTAACTTAAAATTTTTTTAAAATTAACTTTTATTTAAAAAAATCATTTTAAAAATTAAAAATTATTCCTATAATTAAATTTTAAATTTTTATTAAATAAATAAAAAATAAATATTATCACTATATATTATATAATTAAATTTAATATTATAAAAAATTTTTAAAAAATTTTAATTATTTAAAAAAATAATTAAAAATAACTTTTTAATTAAAAAATTTTAAATGTTATAAAAAAAGTATCTTATAATTTAATAGATATCTCTTTTAATTAATAGTTTTATACTTGTTATATTTATATTACAAGAAATATTTTTATTATAAATAATTATTTAATATTTTTAGCTATTTTATCAAAAGTAATATACATTTCTTTTTTTATGCTATAAGTATTACAAGTAATAAATAATAATATAACTAGTTTTTGAAATTTTATAATCGTATTTTTTTCAATTATTAATTTTTCTAATCTAGTAAAAATACTCAAGTATTTATAAAGCTTAACAATCAGTTTTATACTAATTTATTATATTAATTTTAATTAGTATTTCTGTACTTGTCACATCATATATAAGACATATGTCAAATATTTCTTTTGTATTTTTTTATTTTGTTTAATTCTTTTTTTTGCAAAAATATCAAAAATTATAATTTAACTAGATCTACAGATTTTTTTTTGGCAATATTATTATTTTTTTAATTAGATATTAGCTTTTATATTTTTTATCTTTTTTTTTGGATTTGCCAATATTTTTTTTATACTAATTATTATAATTATAATGATGATTATTATTATAATTTGTATAGATTTCTCATAATAACCATTTGTTATTTTTTTTATATTCTTATATTATTTCTTTTGCTTTTGTTTATATAAAAGCTTTTATTTTTTTTATATAAATAGTATATAAAATTAAAATATAATTTATATAGTTAAGAAAAAACTTTAAGAATTATAAGAAAAACTGATAGAACTATTTAATATTAATTAATTTGATTTACTTTTTATAGATAAAATTATTAGTTAACAAGAATTTTATATCAATTAATTAAAGAACTAAATATTTAGAAAATTCAATCAAATTATACAGAAATATAACTGTAGTATTTAATGTGTGAAAATATTATAATATTAGAATTAATTAAGAAAGGTTTTATTTAATATAAGAGAAATCAGACAACTTTGTTATTTCAAAAAAATAGAACTTTCTTATATAAATAATTTTCCTATATAAATAAATAAAGTAATAATATATAATAAATATAATAAATATAATTTATTAATTCTCTGAAAATCATATACCTATAATAAAAGAATAAATAAAATATAAACAAATAATAAACAAATAATAAATATTAATTTATATAATTAATTAATATAGTATTAAACTATTTATAGAAATATTTCTTTTAATATTGTAAGAGAGGCAAAAAATTAAATAAATTTAACATGTTATTCTTACTCAATTAGGGTTTAATTAGGGCTTGATTTTTGGAATTTTTGGAATTTGGAAGATTTTATAACATATACAGTATATAAAGAGACAAATGTACAAGAGACAAAACAATAATAAAAAACTGTTTTTTTATTATAAAACTCAAATTACTATCTAAAACTTTTACTTACCTCGTGCCACATCTCCATACCTCTTCTGATGTTACAAAATCAACAATTATGACATAGCAACAGATTCATTGTTATAAATCCCTAACAATATAAAAAATTAAATAAAATTTATAATAATAATCTTATTAATATTTTATTAGATACAATTATAATTCCATATTTAATTTGGATTTTAGATATTATATGTTATATAATTTGTATTATATAATCTAAAAATATTATAGAAATATATTTCTTGATTTTCAAAAATTCTAGAAAGATACTGTTTAAATTGTTGTATTTCTATTACTAAATTCTTTAATATAAATTTATTTATATTACTTGTACTATTAATTTGTATTATTAATTTATATATAATTATTTTTTTTTTGAGTGAAACATGCGCAAGGCATGTAATCTTTATTGATACATTTAATATCCAGATAGACACCAAGTGTCTCTACAAATTAACCAGAAATTGATTGATACATGGATACCTGTTATATCTCTACAGTTAATCTGCAGATTAATACTGCATTAGTACATATATTGCTATAAGATTAGCTATGCCAACCACTATAACCTAATTATGTGTTTATTTAAGTATTCAAAGATATATCTACACATTAGATAAAACTTTCTGCAGGGGGAAATCCTACCACCAGTTTAAATCCACCTAACCTATTAAGTCCATATTGCAAAGAGCAGTATAATATGGAATGTTATTATAGAGATTAACCCCAGTCATTCCAATTATTTGTTATCATTGATTCTCGAGATATACCACTAGCATAGCATAGCACTACCATTTTCATCACCTGTGGAACTGACATCCTTGCTTGGATTCCAATTTAATCTTGATGATTCACATCAGACTCACTTGGTTTTAACAATTTTTGCCTGGATTGCTATCTCCTGTAATTGATAACCTTTGCCCTTTCAGTTCATTTAAGTTCATGTGAACACCACTCTAGGAATAGATCCTCAAGCTTCAGATTGGAATAGATCAGTTTAGGATTAACCTCTTTGGATTGTGTAACAGAGTCTGCTGTCGCCAGTTTGGGTTGAAATTTTTATGGGCTTTTACCAGAGTTAGACCATAAGCCTTTCTTTGTGCAACTTTCTATACTTCGACCTGTTTTCAGCTCGCGATTGTCAGAAAGACCAGAGATCCCATCTTCATGCAGCCTAACTAAATTTGGATGTGATAAGGATTATTGGGTACGACATATACAGGATATCCAGTAAACCTACATATAAAGGTAAAGTATGATTTTTGCTTCTATAGATATTAAACCAGAGACATGCATTTGGTGACCTGGAAGCACTACCCACTGTGCTATTGATCCACAGATTATTTATATATAATTATATTTTCTTTTGATTAATATAATTACTTTTTTTTTTTTTTTGCGAGGCACTTCTCAAATTGTGATCTTTATTAATTGTTGATTTGATTTTTACAGAGATAACTAAGTATAAAATTTA